GGATTGACTCCTCCATACACTAGGCGAAACTAAAGTGCAAGAAGAAACTGGAACTGCCTCCTTCGCTTGATGGCAGCGATATTGTTTGTGCATTTGACCATATTTCCACTACAAAGCCATTCATGTGCATCACGCGACCATACGAGGGGCGTCTCGACATCATCAACAGGTTGTCTCGATCCATCATTGACGTCAAACACGCTGCAACTTTCGTGGCTCTTCGCCCACAGAACGATGCAGAGGCCGGCGAACATGAGAACTGTTAGAGCTAGCCCCAGAATATTTACCAAAGGATAATTTTGACAACACAACAAAGACAATAAAGCGGAGAATAAAGCGACAAGAACAAACAAAACACCAGAATACCAGATATACGTGGTTCGGTCAATTGACTTTGACCTACATCCACGGAAGAAGGAGGAACAAATCACTACTATAAAAGAGGGACACTTACAAATGTCTTAGGAAGATGTTCCTAGGCCATAAAACACCTTCAGGTTCCTAAACAAGAAGACTTCAAACCATAAGCAGGTTTTCTTGTGATGCCTGCTGTACTTCTTGTGGTGTGTCTAACATCAAAGCTCAGGCCCTTATTTATAGTTCCAAGACGAGACAACAAGTCTGATTTTCCCGATGTGGGACTATGGGACTTGCCAAACTAACAAATCTCCACCTTGGCATGTCCCAACAAAACTTGCTCCACCTTCTTCATAAAAGCCCCAATGGGCAATCACCAACAATGAACACCAACCAAGTCCAAGCACTGCTTGAACTTGTAAACCGGAACATGCTTCGTAAGCATATCAACTGGATTGTCCTTTGTATAAATTTTCTGAACAAGGACCTTTCCCTCAGCAATCAACCACTTAGCGGAATTATCAAAAGAAACTGCATCTGAATAGGTAGTAGGCTCACCAACTTCACTTGTCTCTTTTGCAACAGACAAAGCATATGCAACCAAATTTGCATATCTTTGTGGTGGTCGAATATCTCTCCGTGGTCTATCCTTGGCTATGGAATATTGCTCTTCCTCTGGATCATCTGCGTCAGTAGACTCAGGACCACCTATTGGCATTCTTTGAGTAGAAGAGTTCGACTTAAAAGAATCTGAACTACCAATCTCAAGCTCCACCTGCTTCTGCACACTATCATTTGTACAACTAGTAGATTCCTCTTTAGAAGATAGCATAGATAATTCATCAAAAGTAACATCTCTACTGATTATAAATTTTGGGGATTTGGGATCAGGACACCATAATCTGTATCCTTTCACCCCAGAAGCATACCCAAGGAAAATACACTTTTTAGCCCGAGGCTCTAATTTTCCTTCATTTACATGCATGTATGCTGGACACCCAAAAATTTTAAAATCAAAATAATCAGCAGGAGTACCTGACCAAACTTCCTCCGGAGTTTTAAAGTCAAGTGCTGCAGAAGGAGCGCGGTTGACAACGTAACAGGCCATATTAATCGCCTCTGCCCAAAAGTCCTTTGTCAACCCTACATTTGAGATCATACACCTCGCTCTCTCCAAAAGTGTTCTGTTCATACGTTCGGCCACACCATTTTGTTGAGGCGTCATCCTAACAGTGCGATGCCGAACGATTCCTTCATTTTTGCAAAATTCATTAAAGTCACCTTCACAAAATTCCATGCCATTATCTGTTCGAAGCCGCTTAATCTGTTTACCTGTTTGTTTCTCAATCAAAGCCTTCCATTGTTTAAATGTTAGAATAACATCATTTTTATGCTTCAAAAAGTAAACCCAAACTTTCCTAGAATAATCGTCAATGAAAGTCAACATATACCTGGCACCACCCTTAGATTGAACTTGAGCTGGACCCCAAAGGTCTGAATGAATATAGTCAAGAGTACCTTTCGTTTTGTGAACTGCCGGAGAATTGAAGCTGACTCTTTTCTGCTTTCCAAAAATGCAGTGTTCACAAAAGTCCAGTGGCCCAGTACTCTGTCCGCAAAGTAGACCTCTTTTGCTCAATATGCTCAAACATTTTTCACTCATATGACCCAAACGCATATGCCATAATTTGGTGATGTCAGAATCAGACAATGATGATGACGAAACTGCAACTGAACCTGTGACAGTAGTTCCCTGCAGAATATACAAGCTACCAGACCTACAAGCTTTCATAACAATAAGAGCACTTCTAGAAACTTTCATAACTCCACCTTCAGCTGTGTATTTACACCCAAGGGCCTCTAGGGTGCCTAAAGAGATGAGATTCTTTTTCAAATCAAGAACATGTCTAACATTAGTGAGCGTCCTCACAATACCATCATGCATTTTAATTCGAATTGTGCCTCTACCAACAACATCACATGCGGCATTATTGCCCATCAAAACAATTCCACCATTACAAGATTCATATGTGGAAAACAAATCCCTATTGGGACACATGTGATAAGAACAACCCGAATCTAAAATCCATTCATTTTTAGACTTTGTCCTGTCATCAATAGCAAAGAAAATATTTCCAAAATTCTCATCAGATGCTACACTAGCTTCAGCGGATTCAATAGTTTTCTCAACAAATTTTTCCTTTTGCTTTAATTTATTTTTTAATTTAAAGCAATCAGATTTAATGTGCCCCATTTTATGACAATATCTGCATTCCAAATTTCTATGTCTGGATTTAGATCTAGATTTAGATCTACTACTATCAAATTCTCTTTTATCCATTCTCCCCCTAACAACCAGACCCTCAGCCTGATTCTCTCTACTTTCCCCAGTGATATTCCTGTCTATCTGCTCCTTAGATTTCAGTGCAAATTTAATTTCTTGATACGAAACTGTTTCTTTTCCATAAATCAAAGTATCACGGAAATGCTTAAAAGATTGGGGAAGAGAATACAAGAGCAACAAAGCCTTATCCTCATCATCAATTTTTGCATCTATATTCTCCAAATCCATAACCAAAAAATCAAACTTATCAAGATGCGAGAGTATAGATGTACCTTCAACCATCCGAAGCATATACAGACTCTGCTTCAAGTAGAGACGATTCTCCACTGTCCTCTTCATGTACAAGGCTTTAAGTTTGTCCCACATGCTCTTAGCCGTAGTCTCCGTAGCTACCTCCCGTAAAACCTCGTCAGAGAGGTTTAGAATGATGCTGGATCGGGCCTTCTTATCCATACCCGCAAGATCTTCCTTTGACGTACCATCTGGAATGTTCTCAGCACCCTGAAGTGCCAAATCAACTTCGTCTTGAACCAGAATGGCCTCCATCTTGAGTTGCCATAAGCCGAAGTTGACATTTCTGTCGAATTTCTCGACAACAATCTTTGTTATTGTCATCGTTGCCAAAAGATCCCAGAACCAGGCTCTGATACCAGTTTGTTAGAGCTAGCCCCAGGATATTTACCAAAGGATAATTTTGGCAACACAACAAAGACAATAAAGCGGAAAGAATAAAGCGACAAGAACAAACAAAACACCAGAACACCATATATACGTGGTTCGGTCAATTGACTTTGACCTACATCCACGGAAGAAGGAGGAACAAATCACTACTATAAAAGAGGGACACTTACAAATGCCTTAGGAAGATGTTCCTAGGCCATAAAACACCTTCAGCTTCCTAAACAAGAAGACTTCAAACCATAAGCAGGTTTTCTTGTGATGCCTGCTGTACTTCTTGTGGTGTGTCTAACATCAAAGCTCAGGCCCTTATTTATAGTTCCAAGACGAGATAACAAGTCTGATTTTCCCGATGTGGGACTATGGGACTTGCCAAACTAACAAGAACTACTCCTGCTATGCAGCAAGAAAACAGCGAACTTGGATGATAAATACAGCCAGTTCTGTATCTTTTTCATGTTGACCTGACACAGTTGACTTCAATTTACTGTAATTTTGCCCCAGACTTAGTCAGCAGAGGAAAAATAAGATGCTTAGACAATCAATTAGTCACTTACCAATCTTAAAATTGGTAAAGCTTACTTATCATTCCATATTGGCTTGAAACAGTGCAAAAACACAACAATGAAGTCCAGCTTAATAAAAATGAATCTGTGCATGATCCCAAGTAGCTTTATACAGTAAAACTGTTGCTTAAAGGTCTTTCTACAAGTTTATACAGTAACCCTGGAGAACTACTATTTCAGACTCTAATGCATGTGATGTATTATTCTACAGCTGCACTCAGTTAAGTCAAAGTGGGGAATTGTTGGGGGATAGATTAAACTCAAGACAGCATTTTATTAGCTTTTGGAGTGTGGATAGGTGTCAGCCTTATCTTTCTACCAACTTCTCACACTCATGGCATGCAATTCAAAATATACCTGACCAACTAAAGGAAATCAGAATTGGATGCCACTTCCTACCTTCCTAAACTTATGATCTGCCCGGAGAGGATGGCTGAAAGAATAGCTAGCTGCACAGAGTGTTTGGATGGGGCTAAAGATGGCAACAAGAGGAGGGCCTTTTCTGTTCAGACACCACATCTGCAATGCTATGCACACACCAACCATTGCTCCTCCCTGCAGATAAGAAAGAACAAGGAATCACTTTCAGATACAGCTGAAGCAGAACACTAGTCTTGAAGCAATGGAGCCAATCATTACCAAGAACCAAGTATAGATGGCAGTGTCACCAACATGTATTTTGCCTTGTGTTAGGACTTGCATCAGTGCAGTGAGAGCAGAAGCCAGCACAGAAGTTATCACGCATGAGGATGAACCTCATCATATTTGCAGTCTGCATTAAAGCTGAAAAAGAAATCATACTTAGTTGTCCTGAGAAGAAAGATTTAGAAAGTTCCAAACTTGCATTTTTACAAACAGTTAGATTACATAGGTAGATATAAACTTCTTATATCTATTGTAGTTTGCCTCAAATGTTAGTATGATACATAAATCAAACACAACAGAATAAAGCAAGCTAGGAACGATCCAATTGAATGATTATGAAGAACCTGATTGCAATTCTTGCAAGCAAGACTAGTTTCTAGCAACAGCCTATTTGATCCGTAATGGTTCTCCATTGTGTTTTCACATGTTTGTTGACATAAAACAAAATCCTTGTGTGTTCACAGTGAAGAGCGCCAATAGTACAGTTTGATTTGGAAGCTAATTACCTGCAATTGCAAAACTACTGCTGCTAAGAGATAGAAGCAGCCTAAGATCCAATCGCTGTAAGTGTCCTTGTCCAAGTGCTTCATCAATAATTTTGGCTCCTTGCTTTTTAAGTTGGGAGAATTGGAATTGCTGCGGAAGCAGCTCATTGCTACAGAACCACTAAAGCATACAAATGTTTCCCCAACTTTGGCTCTACTGTACCAGTATTCTACTTCAAACTTCTCCAACCTGCAAGGCACTGAAACTATTGATGCAGCAACATGACTGAGTCAGACATTTTGACAAGCAGAACGTGGACATAATCTGAGATGGTGTCAAATGCAAGCCAAGTGCTTTCGGATGTAAGTGTGTAAGAATGCGTACCTGAGGCAGACTGCAACGATGAAGATGAGGCCAGGAGCGAGATTAGACATTGCAGAAGCAATGGCCGGAGAGGTCTTCTTCATTCCCAGCATCATCTACACTCTACATGTCAATAACTATATCCAAGAAAGATAAAGACAAAAAAAAAAAACAAAAAACAATGTGGGTAACGGAAAAAGCTTTTTAAGTCATTTGATTCCAAAATGACTTAAGGATATTTGTAAGCTATTTACTTCCAAAATCAAAATCTCAGTATAGACAGTAAGGATATTTGTAAGTTGAATAGAATCAAAATTTTATTTTTTATATGATGTATAAATAAATAATATGATTGAATCGCGCATGAAAATGATAAGATAATCAAATCGTAATCAATTCAAAGTAATTATTTTTTTAGTAGATAAAAAAAACTCTTGTAAATAAGACGATTATACATATATGGATTTTGAAAATAATACAAGGCTCAATATTCCTCTATCATTTTTAGTGTAAATGTGTCATTCAATAGATACATAACCAAGGTTTGATATCACCTTACGATTAATTATAGGGTACTGAGATAGTTAACATTTCGTAAAATCATCAATTAAAAACTAAATATATATTAAATATTATTAATATCTAAGCTTCTGGATATTAAGACACATGAAAGTAGTAGACTTATTTGTATTAACCTTAGTATATACAACGTTTGAATTAACCTGAAGAGTTGTGGCTAGTGGATCCTCCTCACCCTCCAAAGCCATGCAGCACAAACTGAGCTATCAATATGGCGCTCAACTTTGCAGACCATTTCTTCCTGCATGCATCCATACAGCAACTCAACTGTCTGGGGAGAGAGAGAGAGAGAGAGAGAGAGAGAGAGAGAGAGAGAGATACCTCTCGCAAATGTAGGCCGAAAGGATGGAAGACGAAGGCGGTGGCCAAGCCGGCGAAGATGGGCAGGAACAGCGGGTCGAGGCCGGCCGCGCGGAAATGGTTTGAGATCACCATGTAGACACCGTAGATGATTGCACGCTGAAGAGACGAGTGATGATGACGACTTCCTCCAACGACTCCCCTCTCGACATCCTTATCTATAAACTGCACAAGGTGAAGAAGGTGAGAGAGTTCTTTGTACTGCAAATGCCGCGTTACCTCCTTCAACAGTCGTCGACGTTCCTCTGATGCTGCTATAGCAGTAGCAATGATAATACTACTGCTATTAATGGCAGTCAACAAAGACGGACAGAGCTTTCAATGGGCAGAGTCGTGCTGCTATTTGAAACGCCCCGATTGTGTACGTTCGGCACGTGTGGCTGTGCGAGCTCACCACCGACGCTGACGCCACGCCGGCCCATATTTAATCTTCGGTCCGCTGAATCGACCTAACGTATGAGCCGGGCCGGATGGTACTGTTTGGTAGGCTGAATGATAATTTTCGCATGTGTATATATATATGTATATATATATATACCTGATGTGATAATTAACTTGAATCGTTGATTTGAAATGCTTGAGTTTAGTAATACACCAACCAAGCCATTATAAATTAATTTTAAGTCATCTCCTATTTTCGATGTAACTATTATAATTACTCATACTTATGGGTTTGATGCCAAAGTTAAATATATTATGGGTTTGATGCGATCGTGAAATATAAGTATAATTCAGAAATAAATTCTTACATGGCATAAATTAGGTTTAACCTGGTGGTGCCTTCACGACATGAAATATCACCTACTTATCACGTCCAATATTAAGTTGACTGTAATAAGACAATCGATCCATTAACTTATTGACTTACAATGCTTAACCTTAGGTTAGTAGTAATACACTCATTCAAGTGATCGTAAAATAACCAAGTCTTCTCTCAATTTCAACGTGGATATAATAGTAAATTCATTATTATATTATGTGTTTTTAAGAGTTGATTAGGGATCCTTTTACTTACCTTTTCGCCTTTAGATGATTATTGCCTACGTGAGATCTTATGGTTTTTCAAAATTATCTAATGATGTTTTAAATCCTCGGCTATTTGATAATCGAAAAAGTTATCTCAAACCCTCAATCGTGTACATTTGATCGGGAAATGATTACACAATGATTGTTATTTTTAAAATCATTGTTCACAATAATACCTATATATAGCCATAAATATGAAATCTTGAAGATATTTTGATCCGACACTCATGTGAAACAAAAACAATGATACGATCATTGTAACTGACTTTGATGCCTTGGTAGCATAGTTGATGCAAAGCCTAAACAAACAAACCTGTCTCAATCCAATCCAAACCCTAGAAATGTGGAGTTCAAGTCGTAATCAGGTTTCGGTGGGCAGGAGGACATCAATCGCTGCAGTGTTGCCATTAGTTGGGCAACCAATCCATTGTTTTCTTCTGGTCTAATTTATTGCAGTGTAAAATTATTGTTAGGTTTGGCTAAACATCACAAAATCAGCACATTAATTAACCATAGTTTTCTTGTCTCATCAAACTCAGAGAGGAAGGCATGCATCCTCAGATTACCAAAAGCAAGCTAGTGGTACGCAGTCACTAACAGAGACAACCAGGTTGTTTCATGGGTTGAGGTGGTGACAGACCTCAACTGAGAGGACTCAAGTACGTGAGAGTTACTGCATGGCAATCGAGAGAGAGAGAGAGAGAGAGAGAGAGAGAGAGAGTTGCCTGATAAAGACAATCACACACACTTGACTTTCATGAAGGTGTTTTGCCAGTGTTTCCTTCCTCCCAACCAAGCATTGCAGCTTCTTTTGCATGGCTTCTCCAAAAGAGTCTTCTGATGGGGAAAGGCCGAATGATTTATTTCCAAAGGAACAGATCATCCGAACTAATTTCTTACTCAGCAAAGAGAGAAAAAAGATCATCAAGACATGTTTCTTTTCCTGCTTCTCTTCTGCTCATGAATCAAGCATCTTATTCTGCAATGGCCGATTAATCCTGAAGCATTGGCAGATAATAAATTCTTATCTTGTTTTCGCTTTCAGAAATCATGGAACTCTTATCCTCGTAGATCATAGTTCTGGTGATGGATCAGAAGAGCAGATTTCCAAGAGAAATCCACCTACAACATCAATTTAAGAGCTCCAAATCGTACTCACCATGGAGAGCAGAAAAGAAATGTGGTTCATTCACCAATGACATATTGATACAAAGCAGTCCCCCAATTCCATGCATGCATAGAGAATAAGCAGCAGCAGCAGCAGCATTCGTATCATGCGGAGAGCTTCGGATACACCTGCACATACGACCCACATGCATCTCGTGCATGGCAACAGACATGCTTCAATTATTTATTGGACCAAGAACAAACTTGCTGCCATAAGATAATGAGCTCGTTTGTTCCTACTCAACACGATGGGCTCAGCAATGGCACAGATTCAGAGGAAGCCAAAACCTAATGGAGAAAAAGGAGAGAGAATATTGCTCTTGTCTTCAACCGCATGTGGGATGGGTGAGAAGGTAGAACAGTAGTAGTAGCATGACAATGAGAATCACAAAAGTACAGCTATAATTAGATTCTGCATGATAGGATGATTATGCACTCATAATTATTCAGCTATTACTGCTCGAAAAAGAATGTAAAAGCATTAATGCAAGTTTAGAGAGATAGAGAGTGAGAGAGGACAAAGAAATGGTCATGGTGGAGTACTATGTTGCTGCTGAGCTACATTGGGGTTTCCCTTCAGGATTGGAGGCGCTGGAAGAAGAGGCTTGAATCACGTAGGTCGTCCTCCTCTTGGTCGAGCTGATGCCGTCGCCCGCTGAGGTTTTCTTGGCCTTGGCTCTCCCCTTCTCCTTCTGTTGCTTCTGCTTCCTCTTCGTCGTCCTCCTCTTCCTCATCTGCTTCGTCGTTATTCTCCATAGGGTCACGTGCAGCAGTCTGGTTGGTGTCGTCACCTTTGCTGTTGTTGAAATCGAACCTTAAGCCGCCCATGTCGGAGAATTTGAAGCTCTGGTGGTCGGCCGGCACCACGATCGCATCGAGTAGCTCGGAGTTATCCTTCCCTTGATCGTTACTGGCTCCGGACGCATGAACAGTGGCTACATTTGTAGTGGGGGAAGCGGAGGAAGGATGAGGCTTGTTGGTGAGAGACTTGGAGTAAAGCTGGTCCAGCTGTTGGAAGTATGGGCAGGTCTTGGAGTGCTGCGGCCGCTTCCTGCCACTTTCCTTGGTCTTCCTGAAGTACTTGTTGATGTTCTCCCACTTCTCCTTGCACCGCTTCGCGGTCCGGTGGTAGCCCATCGTGGCCAGCGTCCCGCTCACCTCCTCCCACAGTGGCCCCTTCAGCCCCGGCTCCCGGAATCTCGATTCAAGCCCGCTCCGGACGCGGATCAGTGCCTGCACCTCCGCTTTCGGCCATCTACTCGTGTTGAACATCACCTTGTTGCTATCTGGATTCCCATTGTTGTTGAAGGTCTCGATTTGGAGGTTGCCGATGTTGTTGACGTTCTCCTCCTTGTCGTCGTCAACGTCAGGAGACTGGAGTTTGGAAGGGAGGTTTAGGCTCACGCCGGTTATCTTTTCGAGAAAGGAGATGATGGCGGCCTCGCGGGAGGAGGCGAGAGCGCGTTCCTGGGCTCTCGCAGCAGCCTCGCGGCTGGACTTAGCCGCCTCCTGCTTCCTCCATGCCTCCTCGCGGCTGGTCCTCTCTTGCTCCCTCCTCTCCATCACCTCCAAGAACTTCATGTGGAGGCCCTCCTGGTGGTCCATGATCTGCTTCACGAGGTTCTCGAAGAAGGCAACCACCGAGCTCAGCTGCCTCTGCCGCCACTTCCTCCTCCGCCTCCCGCTGCCTTTAGGGACCTTCTTCGCCGGCGCCTCCTCCCCCGCTGACGTTTCGGACGTCCCACCGACACGATCGGCCGTCCGTAGTCCTGGAGGGGCCGCGGCGGTGACATGCAAAAGAGGGGTCTCGTCACCCGTAAGAGCAGAGCCCGAGCCAGTCTGATTGGGTCCGCCACCGGGCTTGTAGATGGCCTCCAGTTCACTGAAGATCTTGTAATTGCTGCCACCGGCGGCTGATAGATGATCAGAATCCGCTACCTCTTTGCTC